ATTTCAGTTTTCTTTTTGCACCTGTCCAACTCACAGTTTTGGACTGATTTCCTTCAAACTTTCAGGATGTGCTAAGTTCACCGAGTTGTATAACATATAGTTCGGGTTTTTTGATGTCACTGATCTGAGGTCAGTTAGAGGTCATTACGTCGTAATGTTAAGCCTATGGGAAAATACTAAATTCGGAAAATACTGGAGATATCCGCTTCGTTCTATCACTTTTGTGCTTTGAAACCACAGTACTTAACAGCAGGTCACTTGGTGCTTCTTTGTTTGGCGTACTTATCCATGGGTCAGGTCAAATGAGGTAAACTGAGGTCAAATGACGTTTTTGCCAATAACTTGGCACATAATGACGCTAGAGCTTAAAAAATGGTGTCATTGTGTTCCTGGTGATCAGCCGAATCGAATGATATGCGATATGATGCAATTTGGTTAACTTGAACTTAATTCATTATTTTAAGTTTACTTAAAATTTAAGAAAAACTTTAAGTACACTTAAGCAAGCTAAAAAGTATATCATTCGACGCGCCTTGACGTGCTGAGTTCACTGGTGCTTTTCTTTTTGCTCTATCTTATTTAGATCAAAAGTTATAAGCGAAAAACTTTTCACCTGTTTTTAGCGAATTTTTTACATTTATACCGCCCAAAACCCCCCTAAATATTGACCTAGAGCAACCAAATTTGCACAGGGGCGAGAACTCCGGGAGGCCCACCTACCTACCAAATTTGGTGTTTCTAGGTGCCATAGGAGCCAATCGCGAGGGGGGGGGGTCGCATCGACCCCCCCCCTGCCAGGCCGTGTTATGAAAAAGGCCCTGCCAGGGCGAGGGTTAAGGTCCTAGGTCATCGGTTGACTTTCCAGGTCAGGTCAATGACCCAAAAGTCGGGGAAATTGGGACCTGTTAGAAAGTCGTAAAGCGTGGCTGCTATGGGGTTTTCGGGGTGCTGATCACGAATATCATGTTAGTTTTGATCACAGATGATGTCTTCATGCATTTAGGCCAGGTCGGGTCAGGTCAGGTCAGGTCAACCAGTAAGGGTATTCGTAGTAGGTGGCAACCGCCTCTGACAGCTTCGCAACATGTTACGAGGGCACCAAAACTACTTCGTAAATGTTCATATGTCAATGACCTGACCTGACTTTCCGGTGACCTTGACACCCACCCTAATGCATGGAAGCAAGATCATATCCCATGTTTGAACGCTTAAAACCACGAAAAGACTGCAAACGCGCCGCTAATGCGAGCCGACATACGCCGAATCGCGATTCCGGCCAAACATGGTCTCGAAAAGTAGGTCGCAGGTCAAAGGTCATTAAGGTCAGGGTCATGACAATTTCAGGGTGGGTGTAAAATTGATTAACGCGAGGGTACTGAAAGTTTCGTCGCGATCGGCCGCTTTTTACGCGAGTTATTCGCGAAAAACCGAGGGAGGGGGTCCGTTCGACCCCCTTCCCTTTATACGGGCGAGAGTTAAGTTGATCTCACTCGAAGAAAAAGCATACCATTCGACACGCCTGAGCTAGACAAACACGATGCTGCTAAAATCGCGGATCTGCGATCATTTTTAGCGAAGTTATTTACCAAAAACCGAACCTGTGCCTTGGGCCACTTGACCTGACCTCCGAAGTCATCGGCTGACCCTGGTCCTTAAAGGGACCCTCCCACCTTCAAAAAAGTTTATGAATTGGCATGAAAGTGATGTCGCTCGGTTCAGAAAGAGCGAAAACGAACATCTACCAAATTTCACCGAAAAATATTCACCGGTTTTCAAGATATTAGACTTTTACTTTTGTTTACTTTTTTGGGATCTCCGCTGTTTCTAGCGACTTTATTTTAGAAGTGCGGCGTTTGCGGCAGATGTTGCGCGCAAGTAGCATATACCACCGCGTGCTACAAAACGTTTTAGTCAAACATTTAAAAATCGTTAGATATTTGCGCTGACGTCACACATTCAGAGGGGTATTCCTAAGCATTAGCCCTCTGAATCAAAATGCTGCAATTTTGAAATTCAATATTTCCGATTTAAGGCATTTCTCGATGTTGTGAGTGCCGAAACCGGTAATTGTGAGCTAGGGACCCCATTTTGGCTATCTCAACTCAAATCTAATGTTAAGGTGGGAGGGTCCCTTTAAATCGGAGACCAATCGCTGCATTTCGTAACGACGCACACGATCGTTTCTTTCGTGAGGCTCTAGCTCAATTAGGGGCGAATCGGCGAAGGGGGTTGTTTCCTCACTTCCAACCCCCAACGTCCCCTCGGTATTCAGAAAACCTGAAGGTCCGGTGAGGGTTAAAACGTTTCTCCTGAACGAGGAAGAAATGTGAAAGTCAAAGCTCTATAGACGTCCTGTAAAAGTGGCCATAATAATAAATTCGTTAGAAATAAGATGCTTTTTAACCCTATTAGTGGCAGGCTCCTGGCTACACGACTTACTCATATAAAATCGGGTGCTGGGACCAATCTTATAAACGCTTTAGAATGGACAGGGTGTCACTGGCTAAAGTTTGGGTGCAGAAAACGGCTATTACCTAAATGCAAAATGGTTTTCATGCATTTCAGTCAATTGTATATTGTCGGTCCCAGTGGCCGAGCTTAAAAAAAAATCGGTAGTGTTTTGCATCTTTTACGCCCTAAGAAACTACACCATCTATCGAAGTGGGCGGGCTTATTTGAATGGGAGGGCGCATTATGCACGAATCGTGTGCTTTCGTTTATTTTGGACTGTATTTTACCACATCCACTGCTGGTATCACTATTAATATTATCTAATGCCGTGAATACGACAGCATTCCATTTATAAGATTGGGCCAATGGAGTCGCGCCCCGCGAGCTCGGTTTTCCGCTGGGCCGCTACAGGCCAGGAAGTCGGTCTTCGCCTGAGGGCAGGAGGGAGCGCGGGGTCAGCCAGGTATCGCCAAGTGCCGAGCGAAAGCCGCTCCCTTCCCTCTCTTCCCCTCTTCTCCCCTCCCCACCTCGGTATAGATGGGGAGGGACCGAACTGCCAATGACATGCGAGCGGTCAAGGCCGCTCGCGCGGCAGCGACCCTGGCGGCCGGGTGCCGCAATTGGGATTCAGCCAAGTTACCGATTCGCCTCCTGTGGGAGAGCCAAACCAGGGGACATACTTTTTAGATATACTGTACAGGGTAAAGATTTCTCTGCACGCCAGCACCCGCGATCCGCCTCTCCGATCGTCGGTTCGCGGTCCTCGATAGCGCAGTCGGTAGCGTATCGGGCTACAGATCCGAGGGTCGTGAGTTCGAATCCTGGGAGCGCCGCGTGATTTTGGCTAGAATTAAATGATGTAGATTCTTGAATGTTTGCATAATCAATTATTAATAGCTAATTGAATGTATCTGCCCACTAATCGGCCCTTAAAACCTATTATTTAAGAAATTAAAGAAATGATTGTCACGTGCGCGTCACGACTGCCAACCATAAGCGCTACCATATTCTAGATTGAACTAACTTTTTGCTAGTCCCGACCACATATAGTAGGTTTTCTAGTAGTTATACTAGAAATTCCTACCAAAGTTCGTCCTACCCTTCACTCAATATACTGTGATAATGGATTCCTGGCTGCATGGAATGTGGATGGTTTGTGCTGTGTGCCTGGGCATGCTCTGGTGGGATTGGGCCCCTGCATGGCGCTGCATGTGACGAGCGCTTGTGCATGTCTGCAGCTACTGATTTGGGGTCCCTGTTTCCAGGATAGCTTGAGCGTGCTGGGCTGCTAAGTAAATACAGTTCTTAGAAGAAGAGGTCTTTACTACATTGGTGGCAGCAAGAGCAGCCCAGCGGAACCCTTCGCCTTCGCCATGGTGAATGAAGACAACAAGGAGATCAGTGGGGTGAAGGAGATGATGAAAGATGACGCAGATGGGCCAAAGAGTGAACAGCGTGGTGCTGTGTCAATGGCCCCGCCAATTGTGAGTATGGCTGGTGTCCGTCCAGATCGTTACGATGGTCTTGGGGACTGTGGACGTTTTTTGGACCACTTTAACATAGTTGCCAGGGCCAATGGATGGACAGATGAGGTGAAAGCCATGCAACTCCCTGCATATCTGTCAGGGGCGGCATTTGATTTCTTTCGGCGGCTACCAGATGCACACACGTTGAAGTTTTCTAGATTGGAGCAATTGTTGCTGGAAGAGTTTGCTGCGACTGGCGTTCCAACAGAATGTGCCAGGTCTCTTGCTACTCTAAAAAAGCAGCCAGAGGAAACAATCAGCTGTTTCAGTGACAGGGTACAAGAGGCAGTGAAGAGATCTTACCCAAAGTTCAGTTCAGCTGATAGAGAGGAAATCTGCAGGGTGCACTTCATCAATGGGCTTCCTGACGACCTGCGTCTGCAGGTAATGGTGGATCCGGGAATGGCTGATGAGGCCTACAGGAATGTAGTGAGAAGGTCTAGACAGCTGGAGCAGGTGATCAGGAGCTCATCAGGCGTAGCAGGGATCAGCTCTGGGTTGCCAGCTAGTGGTGTCCGAGCTGTGGGACACCAGAGCATTCCTTCTGCCCACCTGGAAGGGAAGGTCGACGAGCTGTCATCTACTGTCAAGGCCTTGAGCGAACAAGTTGCAGAACTTCTCAAAAGCAAATGTGAACGCAAGGTCACACCTAATATCAACCAGAACTCGAAAGGAAAGAAGGTTCTCTGCTACAACTGTGGACAGGAAGGACATTTTGCTAGAGGCTGCGCCCTGCCCCGGAAGCCGGCGGCCTGACGCCTACGGAGCGCCGCGCCTGGCGTGGCCGCCGCCCGCGTGCTGGGCCATAATTCCGGTGTGTCGTGGGGCGCGGCGCCGGGACTGCGCGCGGGTTTGTCGGGCGGTCCTCGCGTGCAGTCGGTGGCATGGGAGCCTACAGGAACGAGCGGCGCAGCCGGTCCGCCGAATCCGATTGTGGCTCCGGCGGCTGAGGGTGCCTTCGGCAGGTGGGCGTCGGCGGCGGTTGGTGGCTGGCCTGCTGCGGCGGCCGGCCAGACCGGCCTGATGGTGGCGCCGGGGCCTCCGGCGGCTGGAGACGCCTTCGGTGGGCGGCCGGCGGCGGCGGCTGGTGGCTGGCCTGCTGTGGCGGGCGGCCAGACTGGCCTGATGGTGGCGTCGGGACCTGCGGCGGCTGAGGACGACCTCGGTGGGCGGTCGGCGGCGGCGGTTGGTGGCTGGCCTGCTGCGGCGGGCGGCCAGACCGGCCTGATGGTGGCGCCGGGAGCACTGACGGCTAGGGACGCCTTCGGTGGACGGCCCGCGGCGGCGGCTGGTGGTTGGTCCGCTGTGTCGGCTGGTGGCTGGCCTGCGGCGGCGGCCGGCCAGACCGGCCTGATGGTGGCGCCGGGGCCTCCGGCGGCTGGAGACGCCTTCGGTGGGCGGCCGGCGGCGGCGGCTGGTGGCTGGCCTGCTGTGGCGGGCGGCCAGACTGGCCTGATGGTGGCGTCGGGACCTGCGGCGGCTGTGGACGACCTCGATGGGCGGTCGGCGGCGGCGGTTGGTGGCTGGTCTGCTGCGGCGGGCGGCCAGACCGGCCTGATGGTGGCGCCGGGGCCTCCGGCGGCTGGAGACGCCTTCGGTGGGCGGCCCGCGGCGGCGGCTGGTGGCTGGCCTGCTGTGGCGGGCGGCCAGACTGGCCTGATGGTGGCGTCGGGACCTGCGGCGGCTGTGGACGACCTCGATGGGCGGTCGGCGGCGGCGGTTGGTGGCTGGCCTGCTGCGGCGGGCGGCCAGACCGGCCTGATGGCGGCGCCGGGGCCTCCGGCGGCTGGAGACGCCTTCGGTGGGCGGCCCGCGGCGGCGGCTGGTGGTTGGTCCGCTGTGTCTGGCGGCCCGACCGACACCTTCGCTGGGCGGCCGGCGGCTGTGGCTGGTGGATGGGCTGCTGTGGCGGGCGGCCAAACCGGCCTGATGGTGACGCCGGAACCCGCGGCGGCTGAAGACGACCTCGGTGGGCGGTCGACGGCGGTGGCTGGTGGTTGGCCTGCTGCGGCGGGCGGCCAGACCGACCACACCGGCCTGCCGCCGGCGACTGGGGACACCTTCGGTGGGAGACCGTCTGCTGCGGCGATCGGTCCGCCTGTGGCATCGAGTGGACCTGTGCACGGGGAGGTGATTCGTGAACTTCCGTCGGGGCGGCTTTCCGGGGCAGAGCGTGGTGACCTGGTGGGTCTTCGGGTGAGTACAGCTACAGTGTCCGCTTCTTCGCCCCCGTCGTTCACTTTTGCGAGATGTGAACAGCCTCTAGTTGCCGAACCTGAGGACCGAGCGCCGGACTCAGTGAAGGATGCTCGTGATGGGTTGGTGGAAGAGCGGGTACATACCTCTGTGTCAGGGTCTGGCTCTAAAGCGGGGGGCGGAATCGCTCGTGTCATTGGGCTCAGGTCCTCGGCTGGGGCAGCAGGTGGCTGCCGGAGTGCGACGGCGGGATATGTGCCCTCTCAGACTGTCTCCGGTTCTTCGGGGTTGGGTTCAGTGGCTTGTAGCGGGGGACGGTCGGTTGGGACACGAGCGGTGTGCGGCAGGGGAATTCTTCGTGTAGTGGGACTAAATTCATCAGTTGGCATGTGTGGGAATGAGTCCGACACGGCAGTGAAAGCGGGGACTGACTGCGAGATTTTTGTTACTGGCGCTCTGGCCCACAAATCGGTACAGTGGCTGCTGGACACGGGTGCTCAGTGCACCGTCGTGTCGGAGGATGTCGTGAGGGACCTAGATCTCGCGGAGGTGGTGCCAGAGCGCTCTCCGGTAACCGTGGACGGGAGTGCGATGCCGTTGGTAAAAGTGGTGTCATGCGACGTGACAGTGGGTGGAAAGACTGTGCGTGACCACCCCATCTATGTCGTTAGGAACTTAGACCCTCACTGCCTGTTAGGTATGGATGTGTTAGAGCGTATGGGATCACACGTGTCGATTGACTTGCGAAAAAAGGTTGCAACCGTGCGGCGTTGTCAAGTTTTGGCTGATGCTGGTCGTGTCAAAATGTCTCATTCGGTGTGCATTCCTCCTAAACATGAAGCCGTTCTATTGTGCTGTGTCCCCGATACGGTCGCAGTTGGAGATACTGTGGTAACTGAACACTCACCAGTGCTGTCAGATAAGTTTGGGATCATGTCGGCTGCCGGTGTCGCAGTGGTGGGTGAGTCACGCACTATACCCGTTAGAGTGGTGAACCCATCAGAGCGAGGAATCCTTCTTCCCGCTCAAACAGAGGTTGCGATGATAGCAGAGAACGCTGCGCTACGTGAGGTGGATCACATTACGAGTAAGGAGGAGGCTAAAGTCAGGCTCCTGGGAGTCGATGATACTGCTGTCACTGCTTGGGTAGAGAGAATGGTGAGCAAATCTGATTTAGTGAGTGACGCAGACAAAAATGTGTTTCGAGACTTGTTGCTAAAGAATGTTCACGCTTTTTCACTGAACGGGGAGCTGGGACAATGTAATCTGGTGACACACTCGATTCCTCTGAAGGAGTCCGCTCGTCCGCTTACTCAGCCACCCAGACGGCTTTCCTACCACCAGCGCGGAGGGGTGGAAACTGCTGTGAGGGACATGTGGCAACAGGGGGTAATAAGACCCAGCTCTTCGCCGTGGTCTTCTCCCATCGTGCCCGTTCTTAAGAAGGATGGGTCACTAAGGCTTTGTGTGGACTATAGACGGCTGAATGATGTGACTCACGGAGACGCCCACCCAATCCCGCGGGTGGATGACTGCTTGGACTCTCTTTCTGGCGCGGTGTGGTTCCACACGTTAGATTTGCGATCCGGGTACTGGCAACAGGGGTTAGAGGAAGGGGACAAGGAGAAGACGGCCTTCTCCACTCACTTGGGGCTATTTGAATTTAACAGGATGCCGTTCGGGCTGAAAGGGGCACCTGCTTCATTTCAGCGCCTGATGATGGCCGTGTTGGCCGGTCTCACGTGGAGAGAGTGCCTAGTTTATTTAGACGATATAGTGGTCTTTGGGAAGTCTTTCGGTGAGTCTCTGCAGCGTCTTGAGCATGTCCTCGAGGCGATAAGCGATAGCGGTCTTAAGCTTCACCCAGAGAAGTGTGTTATGTTTAAACGGGAAGTCAAATTTTTGGGGCATGTGATCAACGAAGGAGGAATAAGTACAGACCCAGAAAAGGTTAGGGTAGTGCAGGAGTATCCCCGTCCAGCCAGTGTCCATGAGGTCAGACAGTTCGTGGGACTTGCCAGCTACTTCCGTAAGTTTATTCCGTCTTTTTCGGAGGTAGCAAAGCCCTTATTGAGGCTGACAGAGGCGAAGGCACGCTTTCAATGGGACGATTCTTGCGAAGAGTCGTTCCTCGCGTTGAAGGGCTTTCTTATCAGTGCTCCGGTGCTCGCCTTTCCAGATTTCCAAAAGGATTTTGTTCTTACAACAGACGCCAGCACTGTCGGCATAGGAGCTGTGCTGAGTCAGCGGGTGGACGGGCTGGAGCGACCCGTGGCCTACGCCAGCAGGTGCCTGTCAAAGGCCGAGATGTCATACAGTGTTACTGAGAGGGAATGTTTGGCAGTTGTTTGGGCGGTCCGCCACTTCTCAGTTTATCTCCAAGGGAGATCATTTACGCTTATTACCGATCACTGTCCACTTACCTATCTCCGATCCTGCAAGGATCCTCGAGGGCGACTGGCTCGGTGGATCTTGGAACTGGAACAGTACTCGTATACCATGGTGTACAAAGCTGGACGGAAGATAGGCCATGCTGATGCTCTGTCTCGGGCCGTTCGCGAGGTACACTTACGCTCAGATACGCAGGACTTGTTGCGTCTCCAGATGTCAGACGCTGACTTCTTGATGATCGCATCGTGTCTTGCGAGCGGTCTCCCGTGTCCATCGGACGCCTCCTCGGTGGTAAAGTTCTATCTGAGTCGCCGTGACTCGTTGGAGGTTGATCGGGGGACGGGACTTCTGTTCACGACGCACGAGGGCCATCGCCAGTTGTTGGTGCCTCCGGCGGGTGTCCGCCAGGTGCTGCATGAGAGTCATGACACACAGTGTTCGGGACACTTGGGCATCGACAAGACGTTGTCCCGTCTTAGGGATCGGTTTCATTGGCCATCCATGGCTCGGGATGTCGCGACGTACGTGAAGTCGTGCGTTCCATGTAGCCAGAGAAAGAGTCCGGCACCTCAACCCCGGGCGTCTTTTGGCAAGATGCCCGTGCCAAGTGGTCCCTGGCAGTGGGTGTCAGTCGATGTGACCGGACCTTTCCCTGTGACTGCGGATGGCAATCGATACATCCTGGTGGTGACATGTGGGTTCTCGAAGTGGGTGGAGGCGTTTTCTATGCCAAACCAGGAGGCTGGTACGGTGGCACGTATTCTGGTTGACCGCCTCTTCTGTAGGTACGGCTGCCCAGAAACCATTCATTCTGACCAAGGTCGGAACTTCGAATCTCGCTTGTTTCAGGAAGTGTGCAAACACATGGGTATTTCAAAAACAAGGACCTCGGCTTACCATCCCCAGGGGAATGGCCAGGTTGAAAGATTCAACCGTACGCTCTGTTCGATGCTTTCCATGTTCGTGAGTGGGGACCAGAGGAACTGGGATGAGGTCCTCCCAAAGGTTGTGTTCGCATACAACACGAGCGTGCACAAGTCTACGAACATGACGCCCTTTTCAGTTTTCTTTGGTCGGTCAGCTCGTCTTCCGTTGGACGTCGTTTGTCATGCTGACAAATGTCCAGCAGCGCCAGTAGCGTGCGGTGTCGATCAGAACCAGATTCGAGAGAAGGTGGGCAAAGCAATCCAAGAGGCAGCAGCTTTGAGGGCAGCGAGTCGGACCGATCAGGTCAACCAGTTGACTTACCAGGTGGGTGATTTCATATGGGTCCACAAACCGGTTAGGACTGTCGGAAAGTCCCCCAAGCTGCAGCGGCCGTGGTCGGGCCCGTTCATGGTCATGGAGATCTTGTCTCCCCAGTCCTATCGCGTGAAAGAAGAGGGCAGCCGGAAGTCGTTTGTTGTTCATCATGACCGTATAAAGCCATGCACGTGTAGGGAAGATGACGGCTACGTGGTCTTGGCACAGTCACCGGAGATCCCTCACGATGCCTCCACTGGTGGTGCTGGGCATTCACCGTTGTCAGATGGTGAGCCTGAGGTCCCTGGCGCTCAGTCGGATTCGGATGGTGAGATCCCTGGCGCTCGGTCGGATACCGGTGCCACGCGTGCGCGTCCATCGGGGGCTGGACCGGCGCATGATAGCGACTTGGAGTTGACTGTCCCACAGTTGACTGTGATGGGTTCTGTGCCCTCAACTGCAGTCGGGGTGCCTGAAGACTCGACTGACGGTCGTGTTCAGGCTGTTGTGGACGCGGGGCGGACGGAGCTTCCTCGAGATGACGAAGGGACCGGTGGTTCGTCACCTGTGACTGGAGCCACGCCGGTAGCTAGATGCGGGGGGTCTGATCACGACGAGCCCGGGTTAGCGTTGATTGGGGAGGGGGCTGTGGTTAGGCGCCGAGAGGATAATAGAGACGCTGCGGAGACTCAACCGGGGGAAGCTGAATCTGTGCCCGAAGCTGTAGGAGAGGGTGGAGGGACTGATTCTCACTCATCGGTGAGCGAATCCCGTCCCGTTACTGATGTACCAAGGAGGGGGACAAGGAGCAGGGCGTGTCCAGACCGGTTTGGAGAATGGATTTATTTCTGATTTTGGTGTGTTTGCTAGTGTTAAGTGTCCCAGTGTCGTGAGAATGATGCGTCCGCAATTGTTTGCATAGCACAGGCCTTGAGCCGATGGCTGTGGGACGTTGTCCTTAAGCGTTTAGGATGTGCCACGCTCGTGGAGCGGGGGTTGGCGCGTGCACTGTGTTCACCCCGTCAATATGCCTTGCCTTTGCTGCGGGGAGAAATGTGATAATGGATTCCTGGCTGCATGGAATGTGGATGGTTTGTGCTGTGTGCCTGGGCATGCTCTGGTGGGATTGGGCCCCTGCATGGCGCTGCATGTGACGAGCGCTTGTGCATGTCTGCAGCTACTGATTTGGGGTCCCTGTTTCCAGGATAGCTTGAGCGTGCTGGGCTGCTAAGTAAATACAGTTCTTAGAAGAAGAGGTCTTTACTACAATACCCTGTAACAAAGCACATTACCTAGGTTTTGATGAGCAGCGCAGCGACTGTGATACAAAGGCCCAGTCCCATGCTCATGTTAGTAGCTGGATCTACTCCCAGGGAACAAAGGTAAAACACTATTGACAGCTTTAAGATCAAATCTGCAGGAAAACTAAGCCAGCTAAAAAATCTAACATAAGCTTAAAAGCGCAACAGAGCATTTCTGATTCAACATGCAGCACTTCCGCTTTCATCCGCCATCAGCAACTCAGTTCAAAGAATGATACATTACATCACTAAAATTTATTTCAAAACACCTATGCATGGTGTTTACACAAACAACAGTTCTTTACTAGGCATGGTCGACCTCAGGCCACCCACACTTCAGCAAACAGGGTATTATAATATATCAATGATATATCATTATATTATATCAATGTTTAACGGCTCAAGGTTAGTCGTCTTGGATGCTCAGAGATAAAAAGGTGAAAATTCATTGTCTCTTCCTTAGTTGTCACCATCAATAGATTGTGGACTCCTCAGAGCATGTCTTGATTATGGAGTTGAAACAGCAGTGAGCAAATCATTTATCATTTTGATGCTATGATTAATTTGAGAGAGTTACACACTTGAACTTGACACCTGCCATTGATAAGTTCATGGCTCTTGCATTCTTCAGTCACATTTCGGACGGCCTCTGAACTATTTAAATACAAAAATAAAAATACTACAAGAATTAGAAGACTATTAAAATTAGTTTGCCATAGGTATCAATTTATTTCTCCACCTCGTGGCACCGGAACGAATGGGCGCTGCTGTTCCAAGAGGCGTTGTTATTTTTCAAGGTTTCAATAAAAAACAAGTCGACAGATACAGAAACTTCGGAAGAGGCGGAAACGTCACAGCTTTTAAGTGCCAATACCAATACATTGTGGCACTTATTTGCACAGATGTCAAAATCAAACACGAATTTATTTGCGATGAAGTAATTGCTGGAGAAACGGTTTTCACGGCTCTGATTTTCGAAGAACGCCCATCAAGATGGCTATCTCAACTCAATTCTAATGTTAAGGTGGGACAGTCCCTTTAATGGTCTACTTTGTTCGACATCTCGCTGTGTAGCAGGATCATTGAAGATATTGCGTGCGATTATTGGCTTCCCGAAAAGCAACCGCAACACGCGTAGGAGCGCTTAGTGTAAGAGGGCCAGAACTTTTTGCGCACCCTGTATGAAAATAAAGTGTTCACGATCGCATAGCCAAACTGAGAGCAAAATATTTATTTGCAAAACTCCAGCAATACCCCTCGCTTCATTCTATAAAAAAATATTGCACACGATCATGCGAAGCCGTGAATCCTACCGCCTTTATTTAGCGCCGGCGTTCCCGCGTTAATAATTTCTCCTGAATCGGAGGACCAATAATCAGCTGACGCACCGTTGTTTTGATGTCGGCGGACCGTGCCAGCCTGGGCGCTCGTCTTCCCTCATCTCAGTCGGTGACACACCCATAGGCGCGGGAGCCGGGGGGGCAGTGGGGGCAGCTTGCCCCCCCCCCCAACTCTGGGGCCGTGGGGGCGGTGCCCCCACAGCTTTGAGACGGAATACCACACTTTTTTTGCAAACGTTTTCTTTTTTTGTTGAAAAAGCCGAGGGGTGAAAAATAAGTGGCCAAAACCGGTGAGAAAACTAGATTTGGGGGTACCCTAGGTTAATCTCTATTATGGTGTGCCCCCCCCCCCCCCCCCCAGTCGGAAAGCAGTTCCCGCGCCCCTGGACACACCAGGGAAATAAGCTAAAATTAGAGCGCTCTATTTATTGCTTCCGCTACTTCACCGTCTCCCATAGGGTCCTGTGTTGAGCTGGTGTCGAGGCTCTAAAAATGACGCCGATTTTTGCACCCTTCTCACGAAAACCGCTCGGACCGCCTGGAAACTAATTGTTCCGCTCTAAAAATTTCATGATCGACGGGAAAATGAACGAGGAAAAGATTGGTCCTGAAATAATTTTGAACTCCCTGTAGAACTTATCGAAATATGGCTGCAAACTAGGAGCATGTCAAAATCGACAAAACAATACAAATAAACTTACCGGGATTTTTTTTTATTTTCCATGCATCTGTGTATAAAATCAGTCTCTTTTTCGGAAAGATCATCTTCTGTTTAATAAATAATTCCACAATTGCAATCGAGAAAAAAAAATTCTGCTGTGACAGCAGTTTTGGCATTGTGCCAGTTGTGTGGCGTGCGCGGTGCTGAGTGGTCGTCGGGACGGAGTTGTGAGTATTTTCGGTGTTTTAAATGGTTGATGGCCATTTGAACCAGCTTTATATTATTTCCTACCAAATTTTGCATCAAATTATTGCTTTGAAAGACCATTGAAACCCCTTATCTCTTCATGAAACACGATCATATTCATCGTCGACGAAAATGGCGCGGAACTCCACGTGCGTTTCGATCGAAATAAATCGTAAATTAAATAATATTCGATGATAAGTATCATATTCTAGTGACACATTTTCATAACATGAAGCATAAACTTTGCAAGTAAGTCAACATTGGATAATTGGATTTTTTTTTCGAACTACTCCGCCACCCATGATCAGGTGACCAGGAGTGCCCCCGCCCTCAAACCCAGCGACTAGCAGAACCTTACGTTAACACCAGATAAAATAAACTGATAAGTCGCGGCACTCCCTGGTAAGAAAGGAAATAAAACTAAAAAAAGCACATGAGAGAAGGGGTAGCGGGTTTAGGCGGAGACAAGAACAGAATGCGAAAGTAGCCACTGCTGAAACCAGACAGATGACTGTTCTCTACTACGATACCGAAAGCAACTTTCACTCAGAAGGGCATGCATTCATCTAGAATAGAAAAAACAATCGCTCATTCACACGTCATGCAAACATACGTGGGGAATCGCTCTGGTCAAAAATTCGGCCGGTCAATGCTGAGGGCAGAAAAGCCTTTCCAGCTAAGCGAAGCTTGTTGCTGGTCAGGCTCCTTGCTCCAGCGCCAGAGATTATTCATGGTGACGATGATGAAAATAATTTCGATGAAACGTGATTTACTTGCAATTAGTGCAGTTTTGAGGCAAGTACATTTGAAATTAAGTTGCAATGAAAGGATAGCGAGAATTCCAGAGGAAATTCTCGAAAAAGCTTACATATTTTGTATGAAGTATGCTTTGACGTATCTTTTTAGCTGAGATTTAGATATCTGATTAATGGTTGTTATAGAGAATTGGGATGCAACGACATTATTCCAGACACGCGGTCCTATCCATGATGCTATTTGTGCACGATAACGTTTTGCCGAGAAGGGTTCGTGAAAATGTTGTCTATTTCTTGTTCTTATATTATCCTGATCTACTGTAGTAAACAATTGGTTAAGTTGCGATGGTAAATGTGAAGCGAATTTTCGATACATGAACATGATAAGTTGTTGTCTAGCTAGTGCGTTTACTTTAAGAACATTGAGCTTACGAAATATGGGCATAGTATGTGCAAGACGATGTTCATTTACTATAATTCGAACTGCTCGTTTTTGTAATACTTCGATTTTGTGGAGATAAGTTGGATATGTGAAACCCCAGATTAGGCAGCAATAGTTTAAGTAAGGAAGAATCAGTGAGTTGTAGAGCAAGAGTAATGATTTTTCAGGAAGAAAGTACTTCGCTCTACTCAAGATTCCAATATTTCTACTGATAATGATTGCTATGTTATCGATGTGGTATTTCCACTTCAAGGCAGGGTCAATAGTGATGCCTAGATATTTTACTTTTTCTGCTATTTCAATTCTTTCACCATGTATCATAATGTTCAAATTAATGATATTACCCATTTGGTTGTATACTTGGTAAATGGTTTTTTGTACGTTGAGTGTGAGTTTGTTTGCTTGAAGCCAAATGGATACAGCTTCAAGTTCTTTATTTATATTTTCTTGTAGTTCCTGTGTATTTTCACCTTCAAAAAGTAAGGCTGTGTCATCAGCATATAGAAGGCATTCTGATTTTTGGCATACATTTTTTAAGTCATTTATGTATATAAGGAAGAGTAAGGGGCCTAGGATAGAGCCTTGGGGCACTCCTAGCTTAATACTTTGAAAAGAGGATCTAGTACTTTTAAATTCTACACATTGTTGTCTGTTTGTGAGATATGATTTGATAAAGCGAAGAGCACAACCAGTAAATACGTATTTACGACATTTGCTGATGAGTTTGTTGTGGTTCACTGTATCAAATGCTTTTTTAAGGTCAATGAATACCGCTGAGGACATTTTCCCATTTTCCATGCTTTTTGTTATTCGTTCTTGCAGGAGTACTATAGGCATGTATGTTGATAAGGATTTTTGAAAGCCAAATTGATCCTTACATAATATGTCATTCTGTATGAGGTATGCATTGATTCTCTGGTGTACAATCTTTTCTAGAAGTTTGGAAAGATAGGGAAGGATACTAATGGGTCTATAGTTGCTAAATATTTTTTCATTTCCAGATTTGTATAATGGCTTCACCACAGCCATCTTCATACTTTCAGGAAATGTTCCAGTACTCAACGATATGTTTATTAAATGAACCAATTGACTGAGTATTGCTGAATA